GCAACACCTGCTCCAACCCCAGGGCATAAATTTGATTCCAATTGCTGGGATAGTGCTAACGTCCGCCTTCCACTTCGGCGCTGGTTAACTTGTTAGAACAAAAAATAATACAATGGCCCCATGAGCCAAGAGGACGGAGATTAGATATATCGAATGAGAAAGAAGGGGCAGAAGGGAGAATTAGGTTGAGGATGTGGGTACGGTCGTCAGCCATATCAGGGACACCTGGGTGGAGGTCAGTTAGTTGGCTCAGGTTGTTGATCAAAACGAAATATTCCGTTTCACGCACCAAAGGTGTAGCAGGTGAATCTGCAAGCCATTCCTGATTATGAACATTAAAGCCTCCCAATAGGCTGGTGAATCTCTAGTAGTTCACCTAGGGGAGTTGGGCGAAAACCCTGATTCCAAACCTACCGAGAAGAGGCCTATGAACCACACACCTCCCTGGTTGTGGCAACGGTCCCCGGCTCGATTGAGCATCAAGGTGTATTGGGCACCTTGGACGTTTGGCACCGTCCGATGGCGTATGATCCGATGAAGTGGACACCGGGTCCAAATGGGTCGCGGTTTTCAAACCGGTGACATGGCAGTTGCAATCAAATGTTGAATTTTCGAAGATGAAACATCAAAGATGGAGGAGTCAAGACTATTGGGGAAGGATACAGTAAAATGAAGCCTCAGCCAAGTAATCTGAAATTCAAGATAGGAAAAGTCAAGATTTGGGATTATGGAAAAAGACACTGACTGGTGGATGAAGACGCTGACACCATTGGGTAGAAAGGAGGAGTTAACAGTGTGGTTGGAGACTTCGTATTGTCATGTTTACGTTATGAGAAGGAAATCGGCAACCATGATCCTGAGACATAAGGCTTCAATAGATCAGGCGTCCTGGTGAGCCGGGCAACGNCGTCCACCACCTATTGCTGGCTCTTGACCTGGACCCGACCATTGTCAAACTCCTAGCTCGTCTTGCACGTCAGCAGTTTCTGTTCAATTTCAGTTCACAATATCATTAACCATGCACTTTCATGCGAGGGTGTTGGTTGCTGTCTTTTGGTTGACCGTTCGGATTAAAGAGCAGAGTGAACAGTGGAATGTTACGAGCAGAATCAGAGGATAGAGAATTAACGTGGGCTAAGGTTGCAAAGATAAGGAGTGGATGCACGAGGGCTGCTGTTTGCGACACTGGGCCATATCACTCAGTTTTTATAACCACCGGTTACCGCGATCTCGGACTCTCCATTCAGGGAGCCTAACGGTGCTTGTGACCCGGTCNGTCTCCTGGTCAGGGTTTTCATACCCTCATGCCAGGCCTTGACCTTTTCCCGTCCGCTGTCACACGGGACCGCACTCTACGAGGAGTCCATAAGATTTGGAAGAGTACTTAGGGATTGGACAACCATCTTCGTGGTAGCCAGGCACACAGGGAGATAGGAAACAATCTGGTAACTGCACGCAATAATTTTAATCAACATACTGCATTATAACTATATGATATTTCAGACTGAGACAACGTATTGGGCAAGAGCTTAGCAACGTCAGGAATTTTTTATACCATCACATTACTCGACATAGGTTAGTTAAATCTGTCCAACATGGTTCCCTCAAGAACAAGTCGAATTTGATTAACCTTTTAAGCTTCTTTGACGAAGTTGCAACGCGGCTAGACGAAGAGTAAAAACGTATGACTTTTACTCTTGGCCTTCTCTGGCTGTAACCAATCACGTGCATCACACACATTGTGCACAATCGCACACACACATGGCCAATACTAACTGGATTCCTTAATTCGCTTCATTTGTCTATTTTGTTCTATGTTATACGTACGCGACCGATAAGAGTATACGAAAGGAATTCCTCTCGCACTGTTTATCTTCTGACTTGCCTGTTCAAATTCTGAAATTGTTCAAATTATGTAAATGCAGTTTGGGTATAATTTTCAGTTTATAAAATGATCAACACTTCCATTGGTTAACTAACCAGAAGTGTATATTGATTGCACCTGTTTTCATCTCTTCTGTCTTCGCTTTACAGCGCAATGTTCCGTTCAGTGTCATTGTGGCCTCTTTCGAGGATGTCGTTAGTCGATTCGGACCGGAACTTTTTCATTTGGATGTAAGTTGTTCACCCCTCGATCCTCTGACCCATGTAATCCGATTCTCTATTCACCTCGTAGGGATTCTTGGCCATAGCTGAACCAATCGATGCATGTGATCCGATTCGTCCCCGGCCAGCTCCAAGCGCCGTGCTCTTGTCAAGTTCTCCGTCCCCGGATAAACTGTTCAATCTGCCGTACATCGCTCTGGTCGAGCGTGGTGGTTGTGATTTCGATCTGAAGGTGTACAATGTTCAAAAGGCGAACTTTTCGGGTGCCATTGTGTACAACACGGTGCCTAACGAGATATTTGCAATGGGTGGTCAAAATTGTAAGTGTACTTTTTCGCATAAACTCAATGATAGGTAATGTCATGGGATTGCAGAAACGCCACTTATGATAGCTAACCCAAGATGGATTCGTTCCAAGTCTTTTTCAAGCAAACGAGTAATAATACAAAATAATTGTGAAGATGATTTGGGTTACACAAAAAGATATCCCCGTTTGACCTGCATCAAATTTGAGAACGTGAACAGATGAACGAAGCAGTTTGCGCGAGGTGTAGTTAGTTCATCGAAAATTGCCTTGACTAGGTGATAATTGTGTATTTTAATTGATTATCAGCTGAGGAAACTGAATGAGAACAAGTTGTTGGGGGGTTAAAGAGAGTTCAGAACCATTGAAAAAGTAGCAAATATATGCGAGATTATCAGAGAAGTTGGTCATTTGAGACTTCTGTAAAATAGTCTGCGATGGAGCAATGTTTGGACGCGTGAAGAAATGAGCGGGATAAAGGAGAATAAGACCACTCAGTTTCAGTTTTTACAAACATTATTCATGCACTTTCGTGCGCCGGTTTTGGTTGTTGCCTTTTGGTTGCCCATTTGGATTAAAGAGCAGAATGAAGATTAGAATGTTGAAAGCAAATTCAAGCGGAAGATGGAGAATTCACATAGAGTGGTGTTAATAGAATAATACGTGGATGCACGAGCGCCACTGTTTGCCGCACCCAGCCATATCGCTCAGTGTCTCTAACCACCGGTGACCTCAGATCTCTGGGTCCCCAGCCAGGGAGCCTAACGGGACCTATGTGAGCCAGTCTCCTGGTCAGGGTTTTCATACCATCATGCCAAGTCTTCGTTTGACCACCCTTGACCTTTTTCTAACAGCTGCCTGTTTCGGTAAACATCGCTCGCCGTGGCAACCTATTTGGTGACATGCGTAACACATGCCCCAACCAACGTAATCTATGGAGGTCGATCACTTGCTCCAGTGGACGACCGCGACTGCCTAAAACTACGCCTAACCTCAGCATTACTCGTCCGGTTGAATAACACCGCTGCGATAAGTTGGGAATAAATAAGGCGAGAATACTGCTCCTTGGAGAGCCCCACGGGTATTGTTGGTCAAATAGTTTCAGTCCGTCATCATCCCGTACACGATTCCTGTATGTGTGTCTGTAGAAATCGATAGGACACTGCTCATTTCAGATCTACACATACAAAGGGCTATGAACTTGACGCGTCGATCTCCGTTGGCCTCTTTTTGGATCATGCGCGTTAGACGGACTTTAATAGTGGTCATGTGCGATGGTCGATCGATCTTTCAGACGTGTCATTGAACCCGTTCGCATCTAGGGGTTCTCGGTGCTGCTCGGTTAACTTTCCGTTCAAGTATTCCACTCTAACCTACTGACCAACCAGGATTTGTCTGTTATCCTTTAGTCGTTACTCAACCAATGGCGTATTTTGTGGATGGACATAACAGTGGAATGTTGGAAATTATTTTTGTTTGACAGCCTATTTTTTCAGTTTGTGTATTTATGTTCATCGAGGTTTCTCTGAGTTAACTGAGGCGGCTATTTTTTTCAGTGAGAAAATTCTGCATTCCCGAAATCACGTTAGAGCGAACATCACTTTTCATTTCAATTTATTTGGACGTTCTCATCCAATTTGAGCTACCTACAACTAAAAGGTATGATATGAATCTTTGGGTACATGATGTAGAGGATGGGTGGGTGCAAGAGTTTGATTTTGTCATTCACTCAACGCTAAACTGTCTAAGTATTAACCCGTCACATACCGTACCTGCATTCCGCATGCGATGTCATTGTTCGAATTGCAAATGTAATGCGAGACTCAGTGTAAACTGCTTCCACTTTGAAGCTTTAAACTACTGAATTGACCTTGTTTATTTACTCTTTTGCATTTTACCGCTTGTTTGGCGTGTGATGCACACCAACCTGCTTGAACTGAATGGTTACGTGAGCTGCGCCCCATCTGGGCAGGTTCTAAATTTGGGCTGCGAAATATCATTTACATGAGGTAGGCATCCGTCGAATTGAGGTTGTCGATCGACAATACGTAGTTGCTCTTATAGTGTAGGTTGATTGCTTTGAGACTGTTGGGGCTATTCTTGTAACGTTTTATTTACTTTCGGAAAATTCGCTTTTTTGGAACTCGGTCATATACATTTAGTGATTATCCGTTGGGTTGCACCTTGTTTGCCGTTCCCTAATCACGCGATGATGATGATGGTGGTGGTGAGGTCTACAGATGACCTATAAACGGAATATGAACACAGCACGCTTAGACTAGAAGGATTAGGCGCATCCGTTGACTTGAGATATCAAATGGCACACAAGGGATTTGATCGCCTCGGTGCTCGCGGTTTTGCCGAAAATCGGATTTTTCGGGGAGATGTCTGTGTGCTCATCTAATCTATCTGTCCATGGGCTAAAGTGGTGCATTTTGTCTTTCTTTTTTCAACCAATCTCTCTCTCTCTTACGGTTTTTCAGTTGAGTCAATTCAGTTCAATACTGTGTGACCAGCTTGGCAGCAATGGGCTAGATTCCTCGCTATGGTACTTGGCTTTATGGTGATACGGATACATCACTTCCAAATTGATGTTAGTAGCATAGTGACGTTCTTCGGTGACCAGTTGCTTTGCGAGTGTCTTTGGACTGAAATTTGGGCAAACCTGCTTACAAAAGTCTGCATCACAATACAATGCAGTTCATAACGTTATCTGTATTATGTTGGGTCATGGCTCTGGTTATGTAGAGGGTTTTCTTGTCGGGTTCTCAACCTATTCACATCGAGAACTGTAACACATCCAGAGGATTATATAGCATTCCGACAAATGATCAATGCAACCCACCGATGATCAATCGCCAATGACATCGAGTTCAACGTTTCTAAGTGCAGATTCATTTTCATGCGGCACAAGACTCGTCCCTCCTATGTTCTGGGGGACCGAATAGTACCGCATGCTACTGACGAAAATTATTTGGGAGTTATGGTACAGGAAGACGTAGGATGTTCCACGCACTGTGCCAGAGTATCATCCATGGCTATAAAGCAATTTGGACTACTCAGACGTGTTTCCGGGCAGTCCGAAAGAGCCACTGTTCCCTCGCTTGCTATCAGCGTTCGTTCAGCCACACACGGAGTACGCCGTTCAAGTACGCAATCCATAGTTGAACTGCGACAAGAAGGCTCTAGAACGTCCGCAAAGGCTTTTTTATTACACACTTTCGTGTGATGAACAGCAGACGGGGTGGAACCCCGTAATCACGAGGACCTGCTGTTCAGTGATGGAAACCGGTAACCTAAGCCCCGGGGCTTGGAGTGGTAAACCACATAAGGCCCCGATAGGTTGGGTGTGGTATTGAACCGGACGACAGCAGAGCTGCCTACCACGAAAGTCGGGTGGCAGTGGCGGGGCTCGAACCTCGGACCATGGGGTCTAAAGCACGCCGGTGACAGCGACTAAACCACTGCGCCACCACCACAACAGCAAAATTGCTAAAAGGTCTGTATAACAAGACATCCTCCGAAAGACTGCGAATATTGGGACTCTACTCATCTCAATACCGTCGACTTCGGGGGGGCGGGGGGGG